CAGCAAAATAGGACCCTGCCCGTTTTGCTTCTTTGGAATTTTGTCGAAATGAATTCCCATCAACATCTTTGTCTGGGAAAACCCCTGACTGCAAAACATCCATAGTGTAAGCTATGAGCTTTGCAACTGCATCGTGGGTGTGTGGTTTCACCATGTCACTGTCCCGGAAAAGTAGAAAAAGGGTCTTGGTGTCGATGGACTGACCTTTCCTGATTGCGCTTGAATGGCTATAGGCCCAGACTTTGTGGGTTTTGTACACCTTCACGCCATCCATGTGCCACGACAACGGTATTGTTTTGCCAGGGTTCTTGATCACCAACTTCTTGTAAAACGGTAGGTGTGAAACTCGGTTCCAATATTCTTCACAACGATGACTTGCTTCATCTTTGGGGTCATGAACCCAAGAAAAAAAATCCGAATGGCCAGGGCTGTCCCACATATCTGCCAGAACATCCCATGGCCACAGTACGCCGTTCTTCCGGTTGTGCAGTTGCACGCAATCAGGCTGGATCTTGCAGTGGTCACGGCACCACCTTGGATGCGCAGGGCTCCCAAGGTAAAACATGTGACATGGTGTCTTTAACATACTAACCCTTCGAGATCCCAACTTGTTGAAAACCTGAATTCAAGAGAAGATTCTTTTGGAAAGAACGTTCTTCGTGGGATTCAGAAAAAGCTGATAAAGCATTGCTTAGAGAGTAACCAAAGCCATCTTTCACCAGTTGTTTTGCAGCTGTAATCCCATCTCTCACCGATGTTTCCTGTCCAGGGGATCCACCGATGAACCTGAAAAACAAACCGTTTACATTTCAGAAACTAAGTTTGAAACTTTTTGGCACTGTATTCAACACTCCGATGTCCATATCCTGTCATTCGTTGTCGGAACCCATTTGGTAATTTTGTGGGGAAACCGTTTACACTCCAGAAACTAAGTTTGAAACTTTGTGGCACTGTATTCAACACTCCGATGTCCAGACAATATCCTGTCATTCGTTGTCGGAACCCATTTGGTAATTTTGTGGGGAAACCGTTTACACTCCAGAAACTAAGTTTGAAACTTTTTGGCAATGTATTCAACACTCCGATGTCCATATCCTGTCATTCGTTGTCGGAACCCATTTGGTAATTTTGTGGGGAAACCGTTTACACTCCAGAAACTAAGTTTGAAACTTTGTGGCACTGTATTCAACACTCCGATGTCCATATCCTGTCATTCGTTGTCGGAACCCATTTGGTAATTTTGTGGGGAAACCGTTTACACTCCAGAAACTAAGTTTGAAACTTTGTGGCACTGTATTCAACACTCCGATGTCCATATCCTGTCATTCATTGTCGGAACCCATTTGTTAATTTTGTAGTTAATTTGAAACCTTAATTTTGGCCCCAATAAACCCGCACCCCACTGCACATCTTGTAGAAGATTCTTCGTGCAGTGCCGCTTCCACCGGAGACAATGTCAGTGCCTGCAAGCAGCTCAACGGGGAGAGTTGCTAAGTGAGACAATGGAGAACATTGGAGAACTGAATTATTTACGTAATGTTTGTCAATGTTTGTCACTGAATTATCATGGATCCCAGTGTTGGAGAACAGTAAATTGACCGACTTTTGCGACCCCGATGGGGCACCTTGTTGACCAACTTCTTTCTTTTGTGCACATCGTCCTGCATGCGCAGGGAAGGTTTGAGGGAGTAAAGCAGACATTTAGTCAATTTTGGATTGCAATGCACATCTTCAAGAACTAAAATAACATGTGAACACTCCAGATGGACATAAAATCTGCGATATATAAATATCATTAATTAGAAGAAACAGGTGACTTGGTTGGAGCTTCACGAGTTTAAACGCTGGCTAGGGGGATACATGCAGAATAGTTGACCTGAATATATGCACTTTGATGGCTGCAAACCTCAATATACTCTTTTGCAGAGTCAAACACTTTTTTGCAATGATAGGTTGAAGAAAATCCTGAAGGTAGTTGATTCAACAACTAAGAGGTAGATCGATATAGATTGATCCTGATGGATTTACATGAATGTAAAAAATGGGAATAGATTTATGTATATAGATGGAACTATAACTGGTATAGATGGTAAAAACCAAAATAGATGTACATAGATGGATAGATTGATATTGATACAGATGGATATAGATGAATGTGGATGGATGCAGATCGATATAGATGGAAATAGATGGATACAGATGGAAATAGATGGATGTGATGGGTAGATACAGATGGATATACATGGAAAGATGGAGACATATGGATATAGATGTATATGGTGTAGATGGATATACATGGATATAGATGGATGAATATGGAAATAGATAGATATAAATGGACCTGGATGGACAGACACGTGAAGATGGGGAGCGTGCCAACAGGTCACACTATGGTCCTCTACGTCGTGTTGTGGTCAGGCGCCTCGATCTTGACCTGCGTACGGGATGTGCTGGCAACCATATAGAATACAGGGTTTATGAAATCGATGCTGCTAGGTTCCCTAAACAACTGCTATCATCATCAGAATGCTTTTTTTTTTCCGCACGATTGAACATGTTTAGGTTGGTGTTCACACCACGGTCGCAACTGGAGGTCATCTTGATCCATTTCAGATCAAATGCAGAAACTCTTGCCATCAAAACACATGCCCAGCCATGCCATGGCCACGTTCGCAAACCATCCCCCGGACACGAGAACAAAATGTCTATGTCAAACTTCTTAACATTGCTAACTGTGGCCAAGAAGGTGGCCCAAGATGAAATGTTGAATTATCTTCGGATTTGGTCCTGTGGCCCCAGCTCTAAAGCTGATCCCCTAGCACTTGAAGTACAGGCACCCACTCAGCTATGAAACATCTCCAGACCAGGGCTATTTGGTTGCACCGGTCTTGGAGCTTGCGCCAGGCTTCGAAGGATTCCCAGCCGCCGCTTTTGAGGCAGCTTTGGCCTTAGCAGCACTCCTGGGATTGGCCGCTTTGTCGCTGGCCCTCAAAAGGGCTTTGGAAAGTTCCAACCTCTCACGAGCCATTGCGCCATATTTCTCCACCTGCGACGGATGGGAACAAGATGTAACATAAACTGGGTCGAGGGTGCATATCTAAGTTCACAAGACTCTTGACTTTCAAACTCTACAATCATGTGAAAAAATACCAAAAGGAAGATACATTGAATTCTGGTTGTGAAAGGGTTGCCTCGGTGATGATACCCACATAGTGCTTGTTTTTCGATTTCTTCTTTCCAATCAAGTCCTGGAGCGAAGCCGCACATTCCTCCAGCTTGATCGCCACAGCGTTGAGCTGGTCAATCAGGTCCGACGACATCTTGATGGGCTTCAGCTTGAAAGCGCCATTCCTCAGAGTGGCCGGTGGGGTCAAGGGATTTCACACCAAACTTTGAAATTCATGGTTCATGACCACCACAAATTACTCTTAAACATATGCCGTGGGTCCTGCACTCATTTACATCCTTCAAGACTTTGTTCACAAGTTGGGTAGCTTTTTGCAGCGGAGTTTGTGGCGTCACCTGCATGGTCACTGTGAAACTATGGGAATTAAAAGGGGGCATGACTGTTGGAAGATATCTACATGTATACGTATAAATAGAAGAATATTAATGTATACATATATTATCATATATATAGTTTACATATGTGTATGTATATATATATATACATATATATATATGTGTATTCAGATATATTTACATATACATATATAATTTGAATCTATATATATATATACATACATACATTTATAAATTCAACAGTGAGGTTGAAGAACCCATACCTAGCCTCACGGGCAGCATCACCTTGCTGAGCCTGACTTCTTCTCTTATTTGTGGCCTTTGCCGGTTGGTTGCCACCCAAAGCACCCATAGCGCTAGCCAGCTTGTCACAGCCACCTTTCCCTGTGAAGTCTGACAACTTCAGCTGCGCATTTGGGTCCAACACACCGCCAGCCTGGCAGACCAAAGCTGTTGAGAACCCTGAAACTGTAAGTGTGAAAAAAGACAATTTTTACATATGATAAATAGTTTCAATTTCAGCACTGCAAATGCGATGTCTTGTGACAATTTCCCTATAAACTTGTTACATTGGGGATGCCTTCACGAACTCATCTAGGCCAGCTTGGTCGATGCACCCTTCCATCTCAAGTTTCGTAAGACGTCGCACTTCGGTGATGTTGGACATGTCCAGATTGATCATGGTGAAGAAAAGCTTCTCCTCCTCGTCATCGGGAAGCTCGGGGTCTTGTATATACCTTGGCTGATGCTGAGGCCAACTACATGGCTGATGGATGGGTGAGGCTGGACTGACACAGGGTGCAACCAGGGGGCAACCCCAGGGACAACTTACGCTCAATCAGCTTTTTGGCCTTTTTGCCACCATGTCGATCCTCTAGCCATTTCTCAGGTCTGAAACCCCATTGGATGTTCGAACTTTGGGATTCAGTAAGGCCAGCTTCATATTTCAGCACCAGGTGTTGCACATTCCCACCGACCTTTACAAAGTCGGCAAAGATCTTCTGCCGTTGGTCCTGCGATGGGGCAACCATTAAAGTTTTTGATGGACCCCCAAATTTAGTTCCCAGATCTTTACTGATTAAAGGGTGGCAAAAATGTCACAGCAAATGAATAAACCTTGTGCTTCTGAAAATCTTTGTTCAATAATTTATCTGTTGGATTCCCACCGTAAAGAAAGCCCCCCACAAGTCTGGATCTACAATTGCATTTTCCTATATAGTTGGTGGGGTTGCGGGGGCCTTTTTTTCCTCGATCTTTTGTAAAGCTGGTTCACCGGTGTGGACAACGAATGGCCACTCCAATCAGCAACCCTGGCTCACCAAACAGTTTCTATCTCTATGTGTAGCATAACTATAGACAGTGTATGTAAACATTATATATGCACATATATTCCCCATAATCTCATCCATCATCATCATCATCATCACCATCATCATCATCATCATCACATCATCCATCATCACCATCATTATCATCACCATCATATGTAATCATAACAAAGTATGCAGATGTTCCTGCAAGTTTACTACTTGCATTTTTCTTCGGAAGAAAAGTGCACAACTTCGGTTAAACACCTCACAACTGCACGTTTTGTGTTTTTGTCAGCAGAGCCGCTACCTAATTTTCTGAATGACTGAACCCTCCATTAAGTCTTGCGTTGGGGGAATTGTGATGCTATGGTTGTAACCCTAAAGTCACCCCAGGCCTCAGACTGCAAGGCTGCCACCATTTGGGCAGGACAAAGTCTCATCTTCTTCTTGTTCTTTCGGAACCTGAGAAACTTCATCCACATCTTTCGGTGGGTGGTGCTGTTGACTTTCATGTTGCTCTCTGCTTCTGCTAGCTTCTTCTGAACCTCTTGCTCTCCTGTCTCATCCTCTGGGGTCTTCTGCGGGGTCGCCTTTTTGACGATGCTCTTCGGGCTAGTCGGCTCGATGGCTTTCTCTTCCTTTCTCTTCTTCTCCATGTTGCCTTCCTCTGTGTTAGATACCTTTCTCTTCTTGGGCACCTCCACCTTGTCCTTTGTCGTGTCTGACTCTGCCTTGTTTGAGGCTGCTGTAGCAACTTTCTTTTTCTTCTCCACATCCTCAGGGCTGTCACCTTTCTTCCTCTTCTTGCCGTCTTCAGTTGAATCTGCCCTGCCATTCTCATTTTTCTCTGCATTGCCACCTTTCTTCACTTCTGCCTTGCTATCTTCTGCCTTGCCATCTCTGCTCTTCTTTGTCTGCCCTTCTTTGCCGTCCGTCTTCACTGCCTTGCCGTTCTTCTTCTCTACCGTGTCAACACTCGAAGATGGCTTCTCTGACGTCTCATCGTCGGTGCTCTTCTCTGCCTTTGCTGCCTTCTTCTTCTTCTTCTCTTCCTGGCCGTACTTGTTTGCATGCTTGTCTGCCTTGCTCTCTTTTTGACCTGCCTTGGCATCATGCTGCTTTGACTTATCATCTCTCTTTTGCTTCTTTTCTTTTGCCTGCTTCTCGCTAACTTCATCCTCGATATCTGCATCTTCGCCTTCACTGCTTGCACCCTCCTCTTCAGAACTCTCTGACTCCTTCTGGTCCTCCTCCTCATCTTCATCCTGTTCATCCTGTTCTTTTTCACTGGCTTCTTGGGCTTCAACCTCTTCGTCATCCTCATCAGAATTCTCTGAGCCGCTTCCTTCATCCTTTTCTTGTTCATCTTCCTTCTCCTTCCGGGAAAGGTAAGGCCAAATTGACCCCTTTACTGTCCATCTGCGAACATCTGTTTTGGGGAAAGTAGGATTCTGCACAAAACTGTCAATAGGTTGGCTTTTCTGGGCCTGCTGCTCTGCTTCTGACTCCGTAGACCCAGAAGAGCCGCAGTCAGAATCTTCCTCTTCGCAAGATTCCTCTTCTGACTCATCTTTCCTGACCTCCTTCCTTTTCTTCACTTGTTCTTCTTCTTTTTCTTTTCCCTTTGCCTTAGCCTTTGCATCCTGTCTGTCCTTACCTTTCTTGTCCTTGTCGTTGTCAGCCTTCGAGTTCGTTTGAACCTTGGGGACCTCTACTGTCTTGGCCTTACCTTTTCCTTCTTTGGTCTTTGTCACGGTCACCTTTGTCTCATCATCTGAACTTTCCAACCCAGAGTCCTCTGAGCTGGAGCTGGCCTCCGCTGCCTGCACCACAATAATGGAGTGTGCACATGACTTGGTGCAGATGGAATGCAGGAATGTCAGATGGAAACTGTGGTCCTATTTGTATATATATATATACATGTAAATGTGCTTGGCCGATGTGCAGGGCAAATAGCATATCCATTTTGGGTGTCCCTCGTTTTGGGTGAAGCACAATCACATTACCCTTCAAAGACAAACAGTCAGGCATCCATTCAATGGGAATTTCAAGATCCTAAATTGGAGGTGCCTACCATATATATGTAAGGCCTGTGTAAGGAAAAAACCCATCAAATATATATGGTACAGTACCTCAATGGATTGATCCATTGGGGGTGTGTGGCATGTGCAGATGCTAATGGTTGATTTCTGGGACCAGACCTGGGAAGCTTCACTCTCCGACGCAGAAGCTGTCATTTCCTTTGCTTCCTGGCACAGCAGAGATTTTACCACAGTAGTGCTATCGATATACATACAGACATACCTACCTACCTACATACATACATACTCACATTAGTTCATATTTAATTGAACCAATAAGTAAATGATATATAAATAATAAATTGACGACTAAAAGATATATAGTGACATATGTTCTATATTATATGTGGTTTATGATATATATATATGTATGTATATGCTCTGTACTCATATTTCACCCAAGATGGTTAATTTAAAAGATTTCAAGGTTCTGTTTGTGTTCAATTGATGGAAGTATACCCCAACCGTTTGCCACCCAGCACCATAGCTCCTTCTCACGAGCAAACTGTGCCAGGATCTTGTCAGCTTCAGCCGAAGTCATCTTCCCACCCTTGGAGCTTCTCCTGGTTTCAGGCAGGGCATCACCTGGGCGACGTTCACCTGGAGTGTTTTCGGCAACTATGGGAGTTACCTTTGGGACACCGTCAAAGGTCAGCCGCCTTGCTGTGGGTTCTGAAGACCCCCGACTCCGTTCTGCCTTTTTGGCAACTTGCACATGCTGTTCTGCCTTCCTTAAAGCTTTTGGGTCTGGGCTTTTATGCCTTCGACACGGGTCTGGTGTTTTGCATCTCAGCCTCTTTTCGGGAGCCATGACCCACACTTTTTCACCACTAAAGCCGAGTGACTGCATAAATGTAGCAATGGTGAAAGTTTACTTAATGAGATCGATCGTTTGAAGTCAGACTGTTGGCAAATACTGTCAAATTGTGAATTCTCATGGTGCAAAGTCAGATTGTCGACAAATGGGAGCCATTTTTCTATGAGATTTCAAACATTCCCCTTGAGATTTCAGTTGGCAACGGGCCAGCACACCCCAAAAACCTTCCAAAATGTGATGAATGCAAACCCATGAAAATTCACGTGAAATCACGGGGTTTTCACGGTTTTTTCACGGTTCACGGGTTGTGCTGGAATCCCCAATTTCATCTAAATTTATCCATAGATGCACATTGCATCCTCAAATGCAGAACATTCTGCAAAAAGAAGCTACACTCCTCAGAGATCAGCTAGGGCTGCAATGACAGGACGTAGATTGGCATGCTTCACCCAGCCAATATCCTAGGATGGGCAAATTTGAGGAATCCAATCACTATATAAATGTTCGGCAACATGTGAATATATGCAATGGGCCCGTGAACCCGTGAAGTCGTGAAGCCGTGAATCCGTGAAACCACCCTTGCCGACAGGTGTCTTTCATCTCGCGCTTGGGCTTGTCGAGAAGATCCATCCTGTGGCACGGAGGCACAGAGCTATATATTTAGATATATTATCTCCAGGACTATAGCTGCTATACATGGCCATGCATCATTAGCTTATATATTTATGTTTATATATAATATATATATATACCCAATGCCACCTGTCTTACAAATACACATTTTATAAAGAGACATGAAACACTTTATCTCTATTAGACTCAAACCATTCAAATGACTGAATGGGTCATAGCTGGCCTGAGGGTGTATCCCGATGCTTTGATTGCAGGCCACTCTCTGATAAAAGTTTCAGCCACTGCACGTCCAAAAAGGATTGGGTAATGCTGGCTTCGTTTCAGGTCAGCGTCGCCAGCAACACGTTGAACACCACTGCCATCAACATACCTCCATGAAGAAATATAAATTATTTCAGGCTTTGAGATACTGGAACTGTGGAACTCCAAATGAAACTGTTCCATGCTGAAGTGATGGGTTCATGTGTTCAAAGCAACAAGCCTGCGAACCATCTTTGCTCCCCATTTTTTGTCACAAAGAGGCAGGTAAAGATCTTTGATCAAAGCCTCCACGTTGCTGTAAAGCCATGTTCCCTTGGGACCTACAGAGCTCGCGATGTTGATGTTACACTCGCAATGTTCATTGTAATCACTAAATGCATTCTAACGAGTAAATACTAGGGGTATTACATGTATGAGGTGTCAAAGTCTCATCGTCCGGGTATCTGGTCTGAATGAGGCTGAACACTTTGCCGGAAGGCCCGCTGAGTCAAACCCTCAGTTGTACCAAGTGGCTGTCTCCACCATAGCTTCCCATCCACACAAATGCCTTAGAATGGGGTTTCAACCCAAACCAATAGTAGATGTTGTGATATGTTTTTAAGCTTGAGTTGCACAATTATTTTGGCCCCAGCGGCTTTGTAAATCCGGAATTGCCGAGCCAGGAATTGGAAACATGGGTGATATTCCATCACGCTTGTACTTGGCTGCTCCAAAATAAATGGTAATCCAAGGGCGCACATCATGGTGAGGCAAGCCATGCATCTGCCCACCATGACATTCCTTAGGACAGGAGCTAACCATATTTTGAATAATTCGGCTGGTAACTTGGAAATGATTCAGCATTTATGATCGAGAAAGGAACCTTTTTTCCTCTTTGCGCAATTGGCTTGTGTCCCCAAATGTGCTGGAAGCCTTCATCCTATAAATCTAAGCCCTTTACTTGTCCCCACCCATGCCACGAAATTGATCTTGGTGAAGCTAACGTAAGGGATAAGTCTAAGGAATAATCTTTGGGCCCTCTTGTACAATTTTTGGTGTGGGACCCCTAAGACTGATCGCACAGATCTTTGCCCCAAAAAGCCCGATATGGGCCAAAGCAGTATTCACTGCCCTTTGGCAGGCAGGGTTTTCCCTAATCCTCGGCGTTTGCTCCAATGGCCTTCATGACCTTTTGGGCAGCCGCAAAGACATCCTCTGCGAAGGTAATCCTTAGCCAGGAAGGCAGCAAGGCATATGTGCAAATATGTGTACATGCACATATTCAAACGCACGCATGCATGCCATGCATTCATGCATATATACATGCATACATGTATTTGTATGTTGTATGTATGCACTTATATATATATGTGTGTGTGTTATATTGTAATGCATTGTATCATACAATTGTATATTCATATGTCCATCCTGTGAATGATGGTGGCACTGTGTTGTGGTTTTAGATGTAATCCCTCTTGTAACCGGCCGCCAATCATAAAGGAATGCCTATTCGATAAACTGCTGGATATGTTTTAGGTTTGGGATGCACCAAAGGTTCTGAGAGTAAACCTTTTCGACAACTTAAAGTGGATTTTAGAAGCCTGGAATCTGAGAGCTTTTCAGCGGTTCTCCGTTGGTGTCACTCTTAGGCTTAAAGGCCCGCTGGCGCAGAAGGACTTCTACACGAGCCTTGCCCTGCACCACCCTTAGATTCAGTGGGCCGTGGGGTCATCTGTGGGGCATGTGCAGCTAGCTTTGCACAGTAACATTTTTTGGAAACCCATTTCTATCAAGACACGTGGTATAGGAGTGTTGGCCATGTCGCAAGGACGTGGGGTGGAACTCAGCAGGGAGGATATAGATGATCTCTTGGTATTCCGGAGGGAAACTTGCCAGAACATCTTCAGAAGCTGTCGGCTCTGCATCACCATCACCTCAAACAATGCTTTATAGCTGTTCGAATCTAAAAAGTATTTGTTCAGCCCACGAATGAATGTAGACTGTGAAGTGCACCCATTGGTAACACTAACATGTGACACTATGTCTCCCACATGCTTTGTCCTTCCCAGAGCCCTTGCTCTTCTTTGCTGACTTTCTGCGGCTTTGACTTCGGCTCTTGCTCTTCCTTTTCTTTCCTGTAGGTCGTGATTGAAACTTGTTGCATAAGACCCATAGGTCAAGGTTACAGGACAAAGGTTGTGAGCAACCAACACAAATCGAGGTTGGAGTCTCACCCACATGAACCCACCTTGCTCTTTGACCTCCACAGCTTGCAGCTCTGCATTCCAAATTTGCGACTTTGCACGCTTCAAACCTTTCGGTGCCTAGGATAGGGTCCCAGAGTGGAATACCATGTGGTGGCTTATAAACCCCCTGATTGGACCCAGCACATGTCTGAACCCTTGATGACATTACCATATGTATATATATATAATAATATATATATATATACTTAAATATGAGTTTCTCTATGTATCTTTTTATATTTGTATGTACAGGTATTGGTTTTATAACCTAAGGCCACACACACATTTATAGCCCCATGATTTGCCCTTGATTTCCCAGCCATGGGGCAGGGATTTGCAGCTCTTTCTTTGCCTTGGCAATGTGCTCTGCCTCCTTGCTGGGCTTAGGCTTGGACCTTTCAGGGGAAGGATGCTCCGCAGGAAGAGGCACTCCGTCTTCCCAAGAAGGGCCCAAAGGGATGGTGGACGCCAAGCTGACCTCATCTGTATCACGTACCTTAGCCTTGGTCTTCTCAGTAGCCTCGTTGTGGACATCCAACAAGATGGCATTCAAACGAAGGGCATCATCCAGCCCTGGGGGGACCTTGATCAGGATATCATCCGGGACATCCTGGCTATCACCCGGGACAACCTGGCTATCCGGGAAACACTGGCTTTCATCATACATGTCCTGACCATCGATTTCTTCACTCACGTTTGACTTCTCTTCTTCAGCTTCCTCCCCCAAAGTATCCCCTTGATAATCCTCCGCATCATCATCGGAAGGCAAAAGCAGAGGCTCGAACCGGTCCAAGACCTAGATGCCGGCTACTGGCTGGGGGGAGATGAAAAAGGATTGATCCCATCCCAGTTGTACATTTTGATATTGTTAAGGTCCCCATATAGTCCCTCAAAAATGAATAGTGGACGAAGGGGTGTTGTTTATAGCAAAGGTTTGTTGGGATGATTCTGCTTTCTCGCCGTTTTTTAGCTGATCCAGATCCAAGAAACCGCATCCCATATACGATCCATCTCATCAGAATTGCAACTGATGTCGGAGCCTTCATCATCACATTTCGGGCGTTCCTACAGGAACGCAAAATAGAAATAGGGTGCCTGATTTTTTACAAGTTCGCAGTTTCTCCACTGGGTTGGGCTATATATGTATGCTAGGACATCTAAGTGATCTGTTCACTGTTGGGACACTGTCCTGCTCCTCATCCATCTCAATCTGGGATTCAGGAGTTGGATCCTCGGTGTCCACGGTTTGGGCAAGTTGTAAATTAAAATAACACCCAACTCAATTGATGATCCTTTTTTTGAAGATTCCAGTTCTTACCAATACATAATGTTTGAAGGCTCCAGTTCTTATCAATGCTGCAAGGGCGCCCGAGCCCGCATGCAATCTTTCAGCGACTGGATGTAGGGGAATCGCGACTTACTAGGACTGTTTCGCCACAGACTGCCAGGGCCGGTAGAAGATTCTTTGAGGGGCAAATGCCACCCAAGTGAATAGGAAATATAAATGCATATATCTAAGTATATATATTTTTTACTTATTCATTTTATTTACATATGTAGTTGAATACACGTTTATGTACATAGGAACATGTACATGACAAGTGGTATATATATATATACCTAACAGGTAAACTATACTAAATATACTGTACTATACTGTGCTATGCTTTACTTTACTACACTGTAATGTACTGTAGTGTGCTATACTGTACTAGACTTTACCTTGCCTTACTTTATGTTTGCATGGATGGATGGACGGGTGTTTGGACGTGATGTCTGTATGTATGTATGTATGTATGCATGCATCCATGCATGTATGTATGTATGCATGTATGTATATATATGTATGTAATGCATGTATGCATGTATGCATGT